ATGCAAAAATAACCTTCCGCGCAGGATAGACATTTCCCAGAATGCAAGGAGGGAGACAAAGAGTTTTTATTTTGCGGCGCGTCAAAGCAGCTCCCCCTAGCTCCCCCGCAAAAAATCGAAACTTGAATGTGTGGAACTGAACAGGACCCTCGGCTGTTTCTAGTGGGACCAGGGGGCTCCTTTTTTTCCTGAGTTGAAAAGAAAGTTGCTTTCTTTGACAACAAAGTCAAATAAAATTACTCAAAGTTTTTTGAAAAGTCTTTAAAATTTTCGAATTGAGGTCCTGTCAAAGTCCCTTTTTATTTTTTTCATGGTGGGAATGGGATTTTTTTTGGATAGCGATTGAGGTCTTATCAGTGTCGGGGTTTCTTGGGGCACAAAGTGACTGGGACTCACTGCGATAATCCGTTGATCCTTTCAAACCTGATGTGGCTGTTTCTGGTGGGGACGGGGGACTCCTTTTTTCCTGAGTTGAAAAGAAAGTTGCTTTCTTTGACAACAAAGTCAAATAAAATTACTCAAAGTTTTTTGAAAAGTCTTTAAAATTTTCGAATTGATTCATTTCATGCAGAAAACTCTACAAAATGATACCAAACATGAAGCATTTTGAAAATCCTTCATGTTTACTCAGGTTGCACAATAATTATGCGCAGCAAATCAGAAGAGCCTCTAAAACATTGCAGGCCACAACAGCTTGCACAAAAATACTTTACATGCATGAAAATGCATGGCAGGCACCCTTCTCCTGCTGTGCACATCAGCAGAAGCACTGAACGAAGGCTCGTTCATTTAATTTCGAAACAAATACTTAAAATTGACATGAGTCCTACAACAATATTCGAAATTTTAAAAATAATCTGTCCAGAGGAGTGGGCCATGTTGCCATTTACATGGTACCTACATGGTACTACAGCATTTTGCTGTATTTTTCTCATTTCAAAGAATTATGGCTTTTCTGAAGTCCAAATAGGATTGGCTCCTAACGAGAGTGAAGAACGAACACAATGGTAATGGGTAACTATTCGAGTACTACAACGGACCCTTCGTCATTTTTGGGTTGTAAACGGGACAAGACAATTAACAAAGTTAGTACTGTCTCACGTCCAGTTCAAAATTTTTGTCTTTTTTCAATGTCAAATGCAAATATTTTTGTAAAGGTGCATAATTCCTGTTTTTTTATGGAAATATGTCATGCACGAATTTAATTTTTAAAAGGCATGAAATGTCTCTCCCTGAAGAAAGACATGATGGTATCACATGTGTGAGATATAACATTGTGGCATGATATGCCATTCCACATACCATATGGTACCCACGAATACTACCGTAATACAACACCCACGAGTACTGGTAAAACCCAGTAAAACCCACGAGTGTTATCATATGGTAAAACCCACGTTAGTTTTACCATAGTTTAAACGAGTATTTCCATGGAGACCTGATGCATCATGCAATAAATTATATCTCACTTATGTGATGATGGTATGATGTCTTTCCTTGGGGAAAGACATTTCAAAAATTTTTTGTATTACTTCCTGCATGACTATACAATTGAATATCTCACCATGCCACAACATCATATATGTTGCCTGTTAAACCCAGCAATTTGAGTGGACAACAGGTTCTGCTTGAAACCTTTGTTTTCATCCTTCATTCTTGCTTTTAAAATTTTTTAATTTAAATGTTTCCAATTTTTGGGATGGATATTAAGGCCAGAAACATAAATGTAAAAACCTCTACAACATCACAGTTGGCTTCAACAGCAGGAGAAAAGGGAGGCTGCTATGCATTTTTGTGCATTTATTTTGTCCTTGTCATGCTTTTTCCCTCTTTAAACTGCCAAAGATGTCCTCTTCTGTGTAGCTTTTTAATCCAATTTGAATGCCAATTTTGTGTAAAAATGATATTCTCTTTTACGCTCTCAGGAGATTCCTGTAGAATTTATAATACTCCTAAAAATTGAGCCATTAAATTTTAATATTCCCACGTTTTTGTAAACGATTAGAAGACTGTTTAAGTTCCTAAGGAAAGTTATAAAAATTTTAAGGACGTTTGTAAAATGATCTGATTTTGGGAGGACTACGAGTTTTGAAGACTGGGACCTATTTTCAAAATATTGCAACCAAAATATTTTAGTGAAAAAGATGCAATCCCTCAAGGGAGAAAAAGCATGGACTGTTTAAAGGGGGGGTTATTGTTTGTCATTTTGATGTCTCAGGTTTTGGAGTTTTGGGTGCCCTGGAATGTTGGGAGGAAATGTTTGCATATCAGAACTAAAGGACATGACCTGAAACTTTTCTTTTCTGAAAGTAAGTAGTCGTCGTACGTTTTACGAGACCGTTTTACAAGTGTACGTGTGTTAAATTATTACAAATGTTGTTTCTAACTTACTGTTATAAACATTTGAATCCTAATAAACCCTGTTTTGCACTTGGCATGCAATTTTTGGACTATATTTATCAATTGATGATGCTCCAACCCACAAGTAAACTTGCTAATGCTTAATGAGCATTCTTCAAAGACTAAATGTTGTCAAGTAAGGAATTTAAAGCCACCACTATTCTGTATTTTTATTTTAAAAAAATCTTCCACCTGTGTTAAAATTTTCCCATGAAATACTCATGATCAAAATAAAAGGAAGATCTGTTGAAGATGAAAGTAAAAAAAATGTTTATGTTGATTTAATCTCCTTTTTGGTATGCTTCTCCCATAAACCACCACCCCTGATAAACTACTACCCTTGTTTAACCACCAAAATCCTGCTGCACAGACATTGGCGGTTTAACAAGGTTTGCAAGTACGCACTTGCTACACCACTTCCCACATAAGAGGTGTATTCCCGATTCTTGAAGTCACTCATGCACAACCGCAGGAGAGAGAGTGTTGGGTGCCGGGCGTGAGGGGATGGGGGGCGCAGGGGTGAGGAGTTCTGACGGCGTGCGATGCGGCTCCGGCGAGAATGTGCCTCACCCTTCCGGTATCTGCCCTCCTTCCAAGAACTATCACGACTGCGTGCACGTGCGCGCATCCACAGCCTCTGTCGTCAAATGCGTCCATCTGAAAAAGTCTTACCCGCTTTTCAGTGATGATGCGATTTTGGTTTAAAGGGCTTTAGAAAAAACAAGCTTTGATCAAAACTAAGGTAAACTGAACATACAAACCTGTCACGTCATGGGAAAAACTTGTCAGTATTGCACAAAAAAATACTAAAATATGTACAGTACTGTACAGTACAGTAAAATGTACTGCCAGAAAATCTCTAGCGAAGTACAGTACCTCAAAGCATCTGACAGTTGTCATGGCTGCCACCTCTGCGGATGATTCTTGCGGCCCAGTTGGTGCAAGTCGAAGATGATGCCAGCTGAGCTTGTCCCCGTGTGACATTCAAAATTAGAGATTTTTGACTTCCTGGACGACATGACCGTGTGAACATCCATGAGAAGTCCGCCCAAGGGAACCAAGTAACCTACCGTTACATATATGTAGAACAGCTAGCAAGTCTGAGGAAGTGTGAAACGTCTCTCGTGTGGAATCCTGAAAACTCCGGTGTACAGTGATATGAATGAAATTATTGTGAAAGGATCAATACATTGAATCATGTTTTACGAAAAAGTTCGGAGCTATCCTAGTTGGGGGGACCCAGACTACTAGCTCCATCTACAAGAAACAGTTTGTACTGTTTCTTTCGCGACATCTATACATTCTTCTGGAAAGTGCCTTCCTCCTACTCTCCAATTATTCAACATCCCTGTTCTGTTGATCTTGCCATACCTCATAGTTAGCGATCCTTGCCACCCGTCCAACTTCATGCCGTCGTGGTGGACCTGACGTTGGCATTGAGGTTTGCATCGGATGTCGCTCGTGGAATGGCATTTTTGCACTTGCTGGAGAAGCTAGATGTCCGCTTGTTCCTCAATTCGAAACACATACCCTATTGCCTACCTCATGCTATACTGGTGATTATACATTAATAATTTCGTTTTTGCACTCGCTGGAGAAGCTAGATGTCCTGCTTGTTCCTCAATTCGAAACACATACCGTATTGCCTACCTCATGCTATACAGTAGACCACTAATATGTAATTATTACAGCCTATATATCCTCGTAAATATATCCTAAACACATACTCGTAACAAAAGTTTAACAGATTCGTACGAAGTAAATTAATCCACACGTCACGATGACCTAGAGTATGGGGGCTGATGAGGGAGGGAGATGCCCAAGTTCAATCTTTAGCAAGGTCTTCGAATTTTGGTTCCTCTTCAATTTATTTGATGCGAGATCTTGGGCTTCTGCACAAGAATCGCACATGCCCACGCTGTGGAGGAAGAATGAAGGTTTACCCCCAGCAGAGCAATAACCTTTTCAAAAAGAAGTGGGCATGCGACGATTGTTGTGATGAGTTTTGTCGGTGAAGAATCGGGGGACCAGTGGCGATGCGGTACGGTAGAACAGTGATGTTGAATAGTTGGTGAATTATTCAAGAAACACAAATGGATGCCGCCAAGGACGTTCCGTCCGCCGTTCTTAGCGACATCTACATGGACGTAGTTTTGAGCTTGGGTCCCCCCAACTAGGATAGCTCCGAAATCTCAAAGTACTAGTATACAATGAATGCACATCCGGCAACATTGAGATGAATTAAAAATTCCTGCAATTTTCAATACTTTTCAACGCAGATTCCAACGAATATTTCACGATGTGCCTATTTCTTGAAGATCATACCAGTCAAACACAAGGAATGAGGCTCAGCTTGTTGAGATTAGTTCTCTCGACTCAAAAATGTTAGGAACTGAAACTTTTGAAGCTACATTTTACGGAATCAAGACATGGCCAACATTCCAAGCACGTCAGGTAGGATGTCAAAACTGCATAACTTTTCGCCTAAAATCTTAGAAGATGCCATTACAATGCACGCTCAATATCCGATTGTAATTCGTATTTGTTCGAGTCACACGCATCATCGAACCCCGAAACCCTTTCATTCTGAACCAAAATCTTCAAAGCGTTGTTCGGATGACACACATGATCCTACACACCTCTTCTGACGATTCCGCAACGTCGACTATGACAGAATCCGCTTCGTCAATTTCGTTCACGTCGAAGCAAGTGTCGACCTGACTAGATGTCGAAACACTCGTGTCTTTGAGCCCTCCAACAACAACGCGGCCTTCGCGAGCTTCTTGCACAAGTCGGCGAAAATGCGAGTCCAACGGATGTTCCCACTGCGACGTTCCGCAGGACGCGTTGAAATAGAACCAGCGATCCCTTTCCGTGTCAAAGCTGTTGCAAATAAACAAGACAGTCAAACCCCATGAAGACGCCTTCAACAAGCAGCCACCCTCGGTAACTGCCACTTCATTTTGAAAAACAAATCTTCCATATTCAGCGTATTGATAAAATTATTGGGAACCCCCGTTAAAACGAAATCTGCCGAAATTACTGACAACTCGAACATGCTCCTGCCAAAAAATTTTGTCGTCGATAGCATACCAAAAAGATTCAAGTTTCTGCGAGAGATCTCCAATTGAAAAATAGAAAAAAAAAACCAGAAAGGCGACATGATTTACTTCTTGGGAACATTAGCTAAATACAAGTTACGCATCCCAGGGTTATTTCAACTGTTTTCTAGAAGAATAAGAATTGTATTTCCTATTGCACTTAATTTCCTGATCATTTTAGCTTTTTTGATAAACCACCAACCCCCATTAAATCGCCACAAACCTGAAATGGTGGCGGCTTATCGAGGTTTGACTGAACATAAAATCTCAACATCGAATTATCTTCGTTAAAGCCGAGAAAAAAATCATCGCAATAATGTTTCTTCAACACAGTAAAATCAATGCTGGGATGCTCACCATGGCTTCCAACCCGTGGGTAACCGACTAGACAACCCTTCAACAGCGATATGTGCCAAGTGTTGTTCAGTTTCCCAGTCTATTCCAATGCGTTTGCTATATTCCTTCAAATCTGTAAAAAGAGAAAAACAATTATTTTCAAAAGTGTAATAAAGCTCTGACGTTTACCAAGAGGATGGATGTCCATCAATATTACGCGCCTGCGACTTTCTTACAAGCCTCGTAAAAAGCCACAACAGCCATCCGCAGAAAACTAATGAACACCCGACCGACCTCTTACTTTGCACGTCAGCCAAGTGGTGTTTGGATTTCGATCTCGTCAAAAATTAAGCACTTTATGATCGTACCCTGGTGAAGGTTTGTTCCCAGTTATAAGTCAAAGAAATTCTGACGCAAAAAAATATGGTAACAATGGTAGCCATGGTTCCCTCCGTATTAATTTGTGATGCAGCAGAACCTTGTTCAATGACAAATTGAGCTACTTTTGATTATAGATATTCATCACAAGATCGTCTCAAAAAAACCAGGGCAACCGTTCGTAGTTCAGTCAAAATCACTGTCATATCTATTTTTAAAAGTAATGCTGCGATTTTTATTTCTAAACGTCTTGGCTACTGATGCCGGCAATTCATCCTAAAATCTTTTCAAATCCTACAACAAAAAGACAGAAATGTATTCAACATTCTTCGATTGAACCTGAACTCAGCTAACTCATCCGAACCTAGCGTAACATGACTAATCATACATCAACTCTTCCGAACCGCAAAAAAATTGAAATTCACCTAAACATTATACTCCAACGAGTAATGACGCAGAAAATCGCGGATCGGAGGCATTAAAGTGAGAATAAAAAAAATATTTCCCCATTAAATTGAAAGGATGGAACCAAGCCTCGAGGAGAGAAAGAAAACTTACCTTCATCATTGAATTCAGGCGGGCTGAGGTCTTCTTCGCCGACTTCAAAACGCTGAGAAGCTTCGGACTTAGCCAAGGCTGGCTCTTCCATCATTGATCGACACCTTTCTCAGATCCAACCCTGGTCCCATAGTCTCAACCCAATTTTTCAATCATCCAAGAACATAATTTGGAACACTTTTGTCACAATAATCCAATATTACAAGCCAACTGATAGTCCACGAAGAAAAAAAAATAGAAAAAGAAACGACCTGAGGATGAACAGAACAACATGCCGATAAATTGCAAACATACTTTGAAATCCGTGCTATGAATAATGCACCCAAAACAGAGAAACATAAATCCTATTATCCAGATTTTCACAGCACAATTCTTGCAAGACATAGAAATGTTTTTCTCCTCGACGCCCGACACTGAAAAGCTATTGAATGACATAAACGTAATTTTGTGCAACATTTGATTGTAAGAAGCCGTTCAAATAATTTGAAACAACGAGATGATCACGCATGTTCCTTCGGGAGATTAACACCTGCTGCTTCATCTAGAATCCAAACAACTTTTCCATCCGGAGGATTCACCAGAAACGCCGGCAACTCCTCACCGTCCACGAGAATTCTCTGCAAGATAAAAAAAATTTAATTATTCCCTAATCATTTTTGCGAAAAGCAATCCACTGAAAATCAACCTTCAAAATGTCCGCTTTCCCGGCGCCGAACGCTGCGAAAACGCACTGCTTCGCATGATTGATCGCAGGCAACGTTAAAGTGACGCGATTCGGCGGCGGCTTCGGAGAATCGGTGATGGGGGCTACCCATCGGTGATCCTCAGAAAGCAGTTCGTGTCCCGGGAAGAGAGACGCCGTGTGGCCGTCTTCCCCGACACCAAGAATCAAAAGATCGAACGACGGCCAATCCGAGCCCGCAGGAAACAATCGCTTCAACTTCGTCTCGTAATCATCAGCCACTAATTCCGCTGAGAAAATATTTAAAAGCAAAACATACCAGATTTGAAAGTAAAAAGAACAAATCGAGAGGGAGTATACGAGGGTTCTAACAAAAGTTCTCGGAATGAAAATGAAGATGGCGTCTAATTGAGCTGGAAAAAAATTATTCTTTAGGGCAACCATATTCTTTGGCACAAAAAAAAAATCAGCCCAGTTTGAGTCACAGCCGCCAAAGTGGCGGCCACTTTTTTTCCAGCTTGAAAGTGGCGGCTGTGACGGCGGCTGTCAATGAAAATGGCGGAATTGCCTTAGATGACCTGGAGGCAACCCTTAGAGAAAATGCCAAGTTGATTTCAAGAATTCTGAGGGGGAAACTGGGCCACAAAAAAAAAAAGCTGCAGGAAGGGTGCCTCATCTGTTGAGTGTATAGCAAAACTCTGCCAGGGTAAATTTTGCAAAAAATTGAAAAAAATTGTCAAACTGGGCTGATTTTTTTTTTGTGCCAAAGAATATGGTTGCCCTAAAGAATAATTTTTTTCTAGCTCGATTAGACGCCATCTTCATTTTCATTCCGAGAACTTTTGTTAGAACCCTCGTATACTCCGACAAAATTGTCTTGTCTTCTTTCCTTCGGTGATTGAAAAAAATGTAACAGACGCAGTGTAAGCTCAAAGCACCACTGAACCAAGTAAAATCTTTTTACAACGAACACCGTAACAAAAATGTTTTCAGTAAAATAAAATTTTTCTCAAGTCCCGTCAGAAAGCACATAAAGTACATGTTAGGAGCAATCTCGTTACAACAAACTTCTTCGAGGAACAATTTGGGATTTCCTAGTTTAAAAATTCCTAATGAAGGTATCCCTGCTTCATTCACTTTTGTTTCAGCAGCTCACAGAATTACTAATGAAGAAGATAAGGCCAAAAATTTACTTATGGTGTCAATAATCTGTAACATAGAATGTTTAAAAAAAACATAACAAGCAGATGATGTAACTAACGAAATACAGCATATGATCTGGCAAATGAAGTATGGAGAATGCATCACTGACATTTGCATGTTTTAGAAGATGAGTTTCCAAGTATGGTAAAACTTCTGACAAGGCCAGAAAACAAGGATCCTGAATATATGCAAGCTTAATTTGAAACAATGTCCCCAGTCCTTAATTTTGAAAATCTCATCACTGTATAACAAACTTTTTATGAAGTCCCCAGGAGTTTTTTGTAACGAGATTTTGCCGTATTGTGAATTATTATCGATTATTTCTCTCGTCAACTGACTTCTGCCGCATAAAAAGTAATTAAATCATGCTCTTTACGATTCAGCGGTTCTCGTAAATTTTAACGATTTATGTTTTCAACCCCGTGATTTTCATCGTCATCGCACGGGTAATTTTTTAACTTTCTCATTCTTTTTTATTAGAACAAGTCAGCTTAGGCTGAGTGAGCCTCGTTTCAAGAAGTTAGATCATCAAATAGGGTTATTTTCAGTTGGTTTGGCGATTCCCTCGACACCTGCTTGACATTCCAAAAAGTACTGCGAATTTTCTATGAATACTGTACAATACAATACTTATACTGAATTAAAAAATGGATGATCTTAAAGAGAGGGCAGGCATTTTAAACAAAAACTAGGTTGGTGCCAACGGAAAACCTCGGAACGAAAAGAATTCATCGGCATCAATCTCCTCGTTGAACTCGTAAGCAAACATTGATTTTTCGTTAAATCTGTCACGCACGTTCGCAAACTACAGTTGAGAAAAATCACCAAAAAAATGCTCACCATCAGGATCAGCGAATCTGGGGAGGATGAAATTTTCCAGAACATCAGACGACCCAAGCTGAGCTTTGTAAGCACCGTAAGTGGAGTCGGGACTATCTTCATTCACCAGTCGCTCATCACAAAAGATCCATCGCCAACGAGACATGTCCGACTTGATTCCTTTTATTGCGTTCACCACCAACCCGATCACCGACCCGCCTAAAATATAAACCATTCACCAATACGTTTTAAACTTCATGAAAACGATCCCGAATTTTCTTTATCTTTAACGTTCACCAATCGTTCAACGGAAAAATGGCAACGTTTCGGCAAAAATAACAGACCAGAAATTCCGATGACGAAATTTCGCTCGTTGTCGCCGGCTTCTGGGTGCAACGCTTCATCAGCAAGCTCTTGCATCAGCTTTCGCAGCGATTCAGCCGCTTCTTGCTGATTACTCACAAATTCGACGGGGCGTTTTGCCATTATTCACCACAACTTTTTCGACTTTCGATCACAAAAATCTGCCCTAGAAGAGACAAGTCGTGAATCAGCGTAAGTATTTTCGCGAACATTTTGTAATCGAAGAGATAAGTTGAAAAGACATGACTTTCGTACGTTCCTCATCAGGTAATCCACAATTTTCCACCAACAGATCGCAATACAACACAAAACAGGATAACTTCCAGAATTCCAACTGGTTTCGCGGACATGCAAATCACAACGAAGGACAATCAAAGAATTTTCTAAAATTTGATCGAACTATTGGATGCAATACCCATCGATCGAGTCACCGATTTTTTCCCTCAACCCTCCAACGAAAAAAAAAAGGTGCACAGCTTCGACACGGAGATCAAAAACCAAAAGTTATCAGCTAATATCCTGAGAACGAATGCCTCTTTCCACGAACTTCGCCTTCTGATTATTTCCCCATCCCTCAAATGAAAAAACCACTACCTTCGCAGATTCACAACGCCTGAAAATTTTTGGCTTTCAAATATTACAGCGTGGATACATCAACAACCTGACTGTACTGTACTAATTTTTGAACAATAAATCTCAAAATGTACACAATATAACTCGGATAGGAATAAAAAAAAAAACACGAGCACATCTGCTAAAAAGCACCGGGGATTGCCCAGAAAATGCGGCGATATCTTGAATAATGCTCCCCAGGTGATTCACTCACTTGCCATCGCATCAATATGCTTTTCGGGCCTTTTCTCGAATTATGCTGCACAACATGGCCGCAAACTTCCATTCATCATGGAATAAGAGACCGATGACACGCGAGAAACACACAAGAGAGACGCACGAAACACTCAAGAACCGTGTCACGTGCAAAGTTCAGATGAAATATTGAATGTCATCAAATAAAAAGTGTCGCATAAAATTTTTTTTCATCAGTACAGTAATTAAAAAACACATTTTCCACTGAATGATTTTTCCCCACCCACCGGGAGATTTTGCCACACGATGCTTTCCTCCTGACATGAACATAACTGTTACCCGTGAAGCATACAGAGCAAAATATTTCACACGAACTGCCAGCTACGGGCATCAAGAAGTTCAAACGAACATTTTTTTTTTTTGGAACACGAAGATCAGAGAGCTGGAAAAGATTGGCCAGCTAAGCAGTCAAGTTGGGCTTCACAGAGATTTCCCATCGACTTTCGCAGAGAAAAAAAAAATCAGCCTCCTACATTCAGTTCCCGCTCGGCGAAAGACAACACATTGAACCTCGGGATGACCTCAAGGCGCAATAATACGTCTCGACATGACTACTTCTGCTTCAAGGACCGATCACACCATGGTAACAACATATCACACGGAGTATCCGCAAGGATTTTTCTTTCAGGGGTAAGCAATAAAATAAAATGAAAAATCGGACGCGCTTTGAAAATTCCAAAGGAATGCTGACTTCGTCGTCCTCTTCAACCCTTCAAGTGAACGTTGCTTTCACCCAGGAGGTACCGGCATATGGCAGAATAATGTAAACTCGACCCGCAAATGACGTGCAGGTGCCAGATTGCGTGTGCGAACGGTATGCGTCCGTCCGACTTGAAGAACACCATCCCAATGATATAAAACAACCCTCCTATGCCAAGCTCGTCCAGTCCATGCAATTCGTCCTTCGATAGAAAATTACAGTATATTCCATTGTCATCACTCGGTCACGAACATTAGTCGTGAATTTCATGAGCAAAACTGGCTTCAGCCAAAATCTTCAGCTAACACACATCTTCCCAGGGCATTTGATGATAGATTCACGCACGAAAACGTTTGGTGATTCGTCAATCTGATTGAACAAACAGTACTAGTAGAACCTCTCAACGTCGAGCTTCAAGGGACCATAAAAAAATTCGACTTATGGATGTTTCGAGTTAGGGAAACAAGCACTTGTGTCGGGGGAAACTTACATGAATTGCAGGAAATCGTAATTGGTGATATTCTGGGCCTTAAATTACTTCTTAAATGAGTTGATAGGATGCTGAATTTGGAGGCAAGGGTTCATTTTCCCAATCAGTCTTTCCCTTCTTTTCAAAACACATCAAGTTACTTTTTCATGCTTTTTTCTCCTGTCCAGAAAATAGTAGCCAAAAAGGCCTCTGAAAATTCGACTTGCGAGATTTTTTGCGAGGAAAAGCCCTCGAGTTGAAGAGCTTTTTAATGCATTGTTTCTGTGAAAATTCTAAGGGAGAGATTTGAAAGATTCGACGGAGGGAGGTTCGAGTAATTGAAGCTCAAATGTATCTGTTACGGCTTCGCTGGGCAATTTATAATAGAAGAAAGTGAATAAGCACATACAATAGCTATGTGTTTAGGCACATGAATCGACTGCAAGTCACTGGATTAATTAGGAAAAAATACCTTTCTTCAAATTCCATAAAATTTGTTCTTTCAAGCATTTGGAACAAATTTTGGACTTTTTCCGAACGCGGGTAATTGAGGAGTTATTATTCGAATATCTAATCATTTCATATTTTGTCGGCAATATGCACCGTAAGCAATTGTCCAAAAAAACTGATTCCCTGGTCGAGATGATGAGTACCAAGACAAGTGGATCAAAATAAAAACACGTAACCGGTTCCCTGTCAATCTGCTATCACAATCTGGGGGGATAAAATAAACTAAGACGAGAACATCAATATACGTTGCAAAGCATACAATTTTATGCTCTTCGTGAGTAGAATTACGAGATAACGACCTAAAATCCGAAGGGCTCGAAAATTTAAATCAAAATTTTAAAAAATTTGACGAAATATATGATCAAAAATCCCGCTCTCTCAAGATTATCTCTAGTATAATTAGCAAGAAAAATGCCCAATAACGTTTACGAAAACCGAGCTTTCCTTCTCGCCACAAATATTGCAGGAGTCGGTCCTTTTCGACAAAAATAAGATATAGCATAAGAGTATGCTGCAGTGTCTTGATTTACAAAGAGGTTCAGTTCTTCGCACGGAAATACAAAATTCGACTGTAACGATCAAGAAACTCACGATTTCAAGAGCTATCGTAATTCCAGGGATTCCGGCAACACACATATAAATAAGCATCTCGAGCCACTTGTATTGCTCATGGAAGATTTGCTGATAGAGTATGCCCAAAGATGCAAGCACCCAAATTGTCATCGGAAGCGTCTCTGTAAACGTGCCAGCCGGAAGCGGAAGCAACGTCAACCACGGGAAGTAAGATGCAGCGATGAAAATGTAAATCATCGCTCGGTCTCCACGATGGAAGAACTCCTTCAACAGCCTGCAAGATTAACTAAGTCTGTAAAAAAGCTCATGGTCTTGATAAAAACAACGCTACGAGCAGTATTTTATCGGAATGCATTTGATCTTTGAACTCGAATAGTTTGAGGTGCTCATGAAGTTACTTCGCACATGTAAAATAACGAATGTTAAGATATATACAGTACTTCTATTTAATTCATAACAACATAGTATTGATTCGAATTATTAAAACATCCTTCGCAGTCCGACGGTATTTTAATTCCCAACTGCCGATTTTTCCCTGAATTCCAACTTTCTTAATTTTTCCTGCTAGTCAATTCATTTCAAACGGTCTTGAAAAATTCATCATTTTACCTAAGTTAACGACCGCCTCACGATACAGACATTCACAGCGCACAATAAATACTTCTAATACACTACTTTACACGGTACAAGCAAAAAAAAAAAAAAAAACTTACGGCATGTTACCGATCCATGAAACGACGTGGAACAAAGTAGAAACCAAGAACAGCAAAATCAAAGCCGAACCAAATGTCCAAGCCGCAACAGATTGTCGAACATTCACCGACATGTCAAGCATACTCAGAAGTAAATGGGTACTCGGAAAGATCCAAATCTGCGAATTCCACCAAAATTTTACCTTTGTATGCTTCAAAGAACCATCGAAAAAAGGTTAGTTCCAGTATGAAGAATAACTAACCGCATGCGAAATTATATTCGCCACGTGTTCTACTTCCGTTGGACGATACGCTTGTCCACATTCCGCAACCTTGTTCATCCATTTCCTGGAAGATTAAGCAGGTTCCATACGATTGTCATAGATTTCTGGATCCGAAAATGTATTCTCACGAGAGTTTGGCATGACACGGCTTCACTTACTTTTCCGTCTTCCGTTTTCTCGCAGGTGAAGCCGGACGACTATCACTGGCAATCGCATTCCGCAAAAGTAACTCAGCACTTGCGCGGAATTCCATAGAAAACACTGATTCGCTAGCACCCGAACTCACGCACAATCGCGATAACACGTACTCAAACCTCAATAAATAAAAACTGCGAAAGGAAATTATGAAAAACGGAACGATCTCAGGAAGAATAAGAGGGCACCACGTCTAATCGAAGTATATCTAACGAACATCAACTCGTCATTTTGCGTAACAACCTTCAACCAACAACGTCACTCATATGAGAAACCCGGAAAACATCTCCGCATCGATCAGACTTTCAACATTCCTCAAAATTGAAATCAAAACCCGCACCACATGACGTATTTGAAAACGTCTACCTCAACTTAAAACAGTATCACAGCAAACAATTCAAACTACATGCATTTAAAAATAGATATTCTCGAATAAAAACTGAGAATTCTGAGTCGCCATGGAATGTAAATTGGATGGATTCGATCATCTTGCATCGTTTCTCTGCTACTACATAGGCCAGCAGAGCAATAATGCGACGAAAATTTTCCAAGAAAGCTAAGAATACTCAATACGAACATTTCGGCACGCCGATCTTTCCTCGCTTATATCACGACGAATCTACTCAGAAAACCAGAGCTTCAAAATAAGTTAGCAAGTTTGGCAAGGCACGATCAATATCAACACGAAATGCCCTGTTCGACGAAATATGAAGTCGTTTGAGCAAAAGATCGTCATCTTCCGACGTCGAATGCAGTCACAGATCTTCATGCACGTTGAACTCCGGTTGGGATTCAGAATCAGATTCCGTCTGCGATTTCCGATTCTGGCGCCGTCGCTTAGCCTTAATATCAGACAATTTTTCGTACGCTTGCTGAATTTCAATGAATTTTTCTTGGGCATCAATCTTTTTAAATTCTTCCTTGAACCGGTCTGGATGCCACTGCCTGGAAAGCTTTCGGTACGCAGACGTAATGTCTTCTTGGGTGGCAGATGAGTCCAACCCAAGAATCTTCGAAGAAATTCTTCATTATTGCTCTAATTCGAATGACCTGCGATAGAAATAAAACTAACCTCCAAGGCGTTTTGTTCGCCAAGTGGATCTATTGAGTTGATAATTTCTTTCCAGATGCGACTCCACCCATGTTCGCGTCCGTAGGTCCACAAGTGGCCAAGTTGTACCTTGAAATCTTTCCATGCCGGCGAATTGAGGAAGTTTATAAAAGCGTCTTTGCATCTTGTCTCCACTCCGGAGTTGTCTTTCACAGAACAATTGAAGTACAAGTAGGAGAAGACAACGGCGTAAAATAGGAGAACCAAGGCAACTACCGAGAACAGCCTCCTGAAACACAGAAATCCAACGTCGAATCATCATGATTATTTCACGAAATCATTTTAAATCCAGTACTGTAGCACATTTGCTATACCGCGGGAAGCAGCACTGTCTTGTTCAAAAACTGAACTTCGAAAGGTTGTGCAGCCTCTTTTCAAACGGTGCGAGGAGGAACTGCGCCGACATGCGAAAAGGAATACCTTCTAGAATACTAGATAATGTACGAGATTTGTACAGACGCGGATCCGAACGACAATTAACGCATTTTTGTTCAAAAATGCGGCATTAACAAAGCAAGTAATTCTCAGTACGCAACAGGCTTCCCGACATTCCGGAGAAAGATGATATTCCTGAGAGAATGTCAGAAAAGTCAGACGAAGTTTTTTTTTGCATTTTCGTATTTGTACACAGGTGAAGTTCTTTCCTTTGAAATTTCCAAATTTCAGAGGGTGGCCTATACCCATACTAAGCTGCGCAGTCACTTAAATAAAAAACTGCACTTAGCATAAACCAGCGAACAAAAACAAAGCCTACACATCACATGCGTAATCTTCTAAAATTTGAACGCATTTGCACTGACCTGACAAGTGATCGACGAGGACTGGGAGTTCGACGCCATTCTCTACTCCACTTGTTGAAAGCACTCGCAGAAGCAAGAGTACAAGAAGTGATCGACCTATCGTTCAATCCGTACACAAAGTAGGCCAGATAACCAGCCAAAAGTGGAGCTTTGAAGTTTCCTCTCTCGTGCCCGATGTTTCCAACTAGCCATGTGCCTAATAAAAATTGAAAGAATTTCCGATAAGGACTCGAATTTTTCGTGGCAAACAAAAAATATTCCGCCTCCAAATCTAAAAATACTTGGGAGCACAGTTCACAAGTATTACGCAAAAAAACATTATCCTGCGAAGGAACAAATCACAGTTTTTATTTCCGTCATTAAACATCTGGTAGCTTTGTTTCTGAAACATTTTATTCGTGGAATTCAAGAAAAACATAGGTTTTTGCGGTATCTTACCCAGAGCACATACAGCAGGCATCAATGTACGGAGTCCGCGAATATTCAATGTCCCTTTAATGATGTCATTTTCCGGAATAGCTGCAACAAACCAAGAGCCCCAGATCATGCCAACCAGGAGTTGCCCGCCGTACCGTGACCAAGAAAACGGCGGCTGATCGGGATTGTTTTATGCTGACGTCAGTTTGATCCATATGTAATTCAATGCAGACCATGTAATCACCTTCGGATGTCGACGCATTCTATCCGCGAGATCTTCTATGAAAGCTCCGTCATTATTCGCACTTCTAACATACGTCGGGATCCAGAAGAAATCACGGATGATTCCGAGACCGAAGAAAGCACCACATGTGGTGAATATCGCAAGTGCGTGGAAGGACCGGTTGAGGTAGAGTTGATGGAGTCCACAGAAGCCTCCGATTAGGTATAAAAAGTAAGCCAAACAAAGATTCTTGCCCATGATGGATGCCCTGCCGAGCTTAAGTCGACTCCTTCGAAACACGACCCAAGCACAGCTGATTAAATACAAACACCCCAATCGTGAGGTCTACATCAACTCCTTCATCCGGGGAACATCAGAAGGCCTGGACATGGGATGAAAAAAGTGATTCGATGCAAGTGGTATCCTTTCAACACATACTACAATTTTAAATTTATCTGGAACTTCGGTATCACCACAAGTGTCACCGAGTCATTCGCGAGAGAGTAAGAGACTCAAAACCAGGAATCTGTATCACAAGTTGAATGCATGAATAATCAGGCAACGTCGTGAAACCGCACGCTCCAGAGTCCTGAATAAATGACTTCGCGACTCAGTCGGTAACCCGTGTTTCGGAGATTCGGATGACCGCATCTCAACCCCGCGGATTCGGCATGCACCCGATTGTGCCAAATTCAGAACACTCCACCACTTCAGGAATTCTAAAAGTGTTCGCGTATTACTGGACTATTTAGACTGCACTTCGCGTCAATGGCCTATTTTAACTTTTTAAAGCTCCCTTCTCATCCCCTCCCTCTCCTGCGTTTACATACCTGACAGGGCCGCATTAGAGAATCTACAAAATTTTATAAAATCAGGTCATTTCATCATCGTGGTAGCGTGGCCGAGCGGTCTAAGGCGCTGGTTTAAGGCACCAGTCTCTTCGGGGGCGTGGGTTCGAATCCCACCGCTGCCAAACTTTTTCATTTGCTTCATTCCCTTCAGCATGCAGCATACTGCTGTACAGCCCCCTACTGTACTGTACTTCCCTGCATTTACGAAACTCGAGACGTTTTCCTGAAAACCTTTATTATATTCTTTTTAAAACAATGTGGAAATTGAACAAAAAGAATCGTGCAACGATTAGAAATATGGTTAGTTCTGATGCAGAACAGCTTTTTGACAGATAATTCATGCATCCTGGACACGAAGTCCCAATAAGATGCATGATTTTGATCACTTAGTGGAAAAACAATGCACCAGCAGTTCATTGAAAATGCCTTAAACCTCTCGGGGTCTTTCTCGCATACTCCTGTAAAATACTGTTATATACACAGCAGCAGGCGATCCGTAAAATGTTCAAACCAAAGGCCAGCATGCATCAGCATATATATACTGCAGTTCATTCATAGAACTCTAAAATCACAACAATGCGTTCTATATATCAATTACGGGACTGCGGCTTAACCATGACGGATGTTGATCCCGTAATGTCTATCAACTGCTTGGAAGCAAACGTCGCCACGATTTTCCTTTTCCCTTCCCGCTTCGGAGTGAACTTCTCAGTGTGCACCACATTTTCTCTGGGCGTGATGTCTCTGTAAAAAAAAATTATAATAATCCCAGTTATGATTTACACTTTTCAGTTCAATCAAACCTCTCTAAGTCGAATTTCATGCAAGCAGGGACTGGCAACAAAAATTCGACTTACGGAGGTTTGGGGTTAGAAAAATAAAATTTTGATTTGGCGGGAAAGATGGAAGAATTGTCAGAAATTTTAACTGGTATTCCATTTTTAAATTGTTTCTTAAACGAGATGACGGGACGCTGAACTTGGACGTATCAAAGGTTCATTTGCTCAAATATTCTTTCGTCACTTCTCTGTTCAAAACACATCAAATTCCGTTTTTTTTTATTGATCTTCTTCTACCTGCGTCAAGAAAATAATAGCCAAAAGACTTCCGAAAATTTGAGTTATATGGAGGTTTTTAGGAAAACATTTTGAGTTTGAGAGGTTCTTTAATACAGGACGTTGCTTCTATAATAAGGGAATTCAGATCCATGGGGACTCGAAAACAATTCGACTATAATAAGGCGGTATTCAACTTAAAGATGAGGTTTGACTTATCAAGGTTCAAGTAATGTATCCATAAAGTTCCAAGCAACTCTTTTTTTGATTTCGCATTATGATTGCATGGCTTAATTGAACACGACTACCTATTTATCTTATGATGTGCTACTGATGAAGGCTGGCCGCCATGAAAAAGTCAGGACCATTTCATTATAACAACGCTATACAGTATTTCAATTTTATTAAAAGCGCACGTCAGTATTGCAATGAAAATAATGAGCTAGAATATACGTATGATTACGCACATCACGATTGTTTATACACAATCGAATCTCTTGATAATATGTCGTGCTATGTACTTCAATAAGACACCAGCTGAAAAATTTAGTTAGGGAGACTTCGAATTATTAGGCCAATTAGGGAAATAAGTATTTTTGTTTGGAACATACAGAAGAATTATTCAGATTTTATCGGTGAATTGACTGAAAGCCTCCAGTTATTGGAAGAGCAGTTTTCTTCTTGGATGAGAGAACAGCAGAAAACCCATTTTGGCATTTACATGCAGTACAGTGCTGTATGTAATGCTGTATTGTGTATACATAGTTGATAACTCAAACATCCCCAAGTCAAATAACTCCCTTAGTCAAATTTTTTTAAACTCCTGGTTAAATTCCTCTATAGGAACAATGCATTAAAAACCTTCTTAACTTGAAGCATTTTCCTCTCAAACCTCCCGAACTCGAATTTTTGGAGGCCTTTTGGCTTTTTTTTTTGACAAAGGAAATAAAGAAGCAACGAAAAACATAATTGCATGTGTTTGAAAGGAAAGGAAAGACTAAATTGGGCCAATTTAGTCCCTGCCTCCTAGTTCAGCATCCTGTCAACTCATTTCAAATGCATTTAATTTAATGACCAGAATATCATCATTTAAAATGTTGTGCCATTCTTCTATGTTTTCTATAACAAAAATGCTTGGCTCTGTTACTCAAACCTCAATCATTCAAAACCTCCATAAGCTGAAACCTCATCCCTAGGTCGAATTTTTTTTTTTTTGGTCCCTTGACATTTGACTTAGAGAGGTTCAACTGTGGCTGATTCTCCTTTTTTCATACCATTTATTTTTTTTTTACGGCAGAAAGCGATTAATTTTTCAAACAAAAAAATGATCCTTCTTTTGGCCCATGGTCAGGTGGAGACTAACTTGATTGAGACTCGACGAGGTCGCTGCAACCCAGGGCCTTCGAACATGAATCTGCAGTCAGTCAATGTCGCGTTCAGAGGATTTTTGAAGGAGAAAGCCACGGTTAACGGCTTCCCCACTTCCACAACAGCATCTCTGATCTGGCAATTGAATTCAAGAGTATATAAAGAGAAAAAATGTTTGACTGTATCATACTTTACAGGCAAAACCTTTTTTTTTACCAATCTCAGGCCAGCATACCACAATTATCTATGAATAAACATCATATTGTGACTCCATATACTGTACTATACTATTTTTTTTGGATCTGGAAATTGAATTCAAGAGTATATAAAGAAAAAAAATGTATGTTTGACTGTATCATACTTTACAGGCAAACCCTTTTTTTTTACCAATCTCAGGCCACCATACTACAAGTATCTATGAATAAACATCATATTGTGATTCCCTATATTATACTGTATTATACTATTTTTTTGGATCTGGAAATTGAATTAAAGAGTATATAAAGAAAAATATGTTTGACTGTATCATACTTTACAGGCAAAACCTTTTTTTTTTTACCAATCTCAGACCACCATACTACAATTATCTATGAATAAACATCATATTGTGATTCCCTATATTACACTAAAAAATGCAGTTTGTCCTTGCTTTACCCTCAGCAAATGATTTGGGTGCTTGAGTGATGAGTTTTTCATGGAACTAATTTAATTCTGGTACTTGACTGCACTTTTAAAAAACAGGCAGGAAACCACACAACCCCTCCCCCCTTTCCCTGCAAACCCATCAAATGTGACTATAGTCCATTAGTCTGTTGTAACTACTGTACATCTGAACTAGTTTTGCATGACACCCAGAAAAAAAAATACATGGGCTGTTAACATATGATTAGTGAACAAATAGTCTTCTTTGAGTGGACAGAAATTTACGCATAAACATATTTTGGCCAAAAAGGCTAATATTTCAGAAAGTTTTGATCTAAAATTATGGAATTTCTGGAAAAAAATAATTACAATAGGGGTAAATATACAGGTGGACTCTCTCTAACAAAATTCAAGATGAGTACAGACAAAATCATTGCATATAGAGAATGTTGTTGCAGAAATCCCTTATCACATGAGAAGATAATCTTATGGGACCAAACAAACAATTTATCATGCAGAGAACAATTTTTTACACAAGATCAATGCAGAGAGAGAGAGAGAGTTTAATTTATTTTGTTCTCTGAAATTGTAATTTAAAATTTGTGAATTTGAAAAAGCAAATGTAACTCAAACTTCTCACAATTAAGTAAATTTCATGCTAATCAATTTTGGATTCACAGTTTTATCTGAAATAGATCAATATCTTTATCCATAAATAAAGTTTGAGTGTTTTTGCTATTCTGCCTGTATATAAACGCAAACAAATTACATCCAGCCAACTTACTTTTTTTTTCTCTTAAAAAATCTATCCACAATCACTTGAGTGCTACATGAATACTGTACTACTGTACTCCTACACATAAAAATGATAAAAAAGAGCGTATATGTTAATGCACCTGGATGTTCAATATGGGTTTTTCAATGATGAAATCATCCTCGGCACTCCATGTTTGTTTGGTTTCTTCCACTGTGGCAAGGGCGTAAATTTTGATGTTTCCGTAGTCAACCAGACGATCCAAGTAGTCTTCTTCTGTTACATCAACGCTCAAAGTTTCCCCTGATGGAAGGCGAATAAGAGATTGCAAATTAGGTATAGGAGTGTTTCCAGTTTAAAATTCAATGAAATCCGAGAAAATCCGGATTCTGATTTGTTGAACATCATCTTCAGAACCAGAAAATATAGCAGCTGATGAGTAGCTGCTACTTTCAGGGCTTCCATGATTTCAAACCTTCCATGATTTAGTGTGAAGTATTATACTGGGGATTCATCGTAAATAGTATTTTTTTATTAATAGGATGATACACTATATGTATGTTTACAAAATTATAAGGCTATATAATCACTGGATTCCTTCCGACCATGACCCAAACATTCGCGGAAACTCTTGGAAAAGTATGTCGTAAATTTAAATCAAGAGGTTAAAACTCGGAAGTAGTTGACGAAATAAGCAAAAAACTATAGGAATATAATAAGTCTCTCCTTCGGGGAAATTTCATCATCCAATCATTGATTTCTTTTCTGGAATATTTATCAAGAATCAATAATTTGAATAACTCACTGTATCTCGGTCGAACTGCGAATTTTCCGCCGCTTTTCTTGATCAACTTTGCCTTCACACCGGTGTAATAAACGGAAGCAGCTGAAATGGTCGACTTGATTGTCCTGATTTCGTTACTCTTGTTCTGATTTTTCGAAAACATTTTACAAATAAAAAATATAAATAAAAAATCCGTCTACAGTATATATACAGTCTTATTAAAGTCACCGAGGCGATTTCCGCAATATATCTTGATTGCCAAAATCACCTTTCCGCATTTTTTTCAATTATTGTATTTATTCTCTCATTTCCCGGAAAATTTCGGTCTGAAATGCGTTAAGAACCATATAGATATCGATACAAAAAATTATTCGTTACAACGAATCGGGTCTTTGTATAGGAGTTTTTTGTAACGACATTTTACTGCATTCCTAGAAAATCTGTTTCCTGACATCGGCAAGTTTCAATTTTCTTCGCAATTTTTTATTCACGACAAACTGGTAAGTTCGATTTTTTTTTTTCAACTGGAACTGAAACCTGCAATTCTTGCCTTGATCGCAACCGGCTGCCAAAAATTATTTAACGCAACTCCAACATAAAAACGAATATTTGCAACATGGTGAAGCGACTTATTCCATAATTTATCCATTGCGGTCCGCAGGTTTTCTTTTCAACACGTTTTTACCGTGATTTATTATTTTTCATCATCCTATACGTATATACCTCATCTACAGCTGTTTTCCATTTTTCAATAATAAACGAATAACCCGAAACCGAAAAATAATGGAATTCATTTCTCGGTGGGTGAAAGAATATCGAGTGAATATATATATATATAACTCACAACAATGGTAACAGTGATTCTGAATGGCTTCCCCACGCCGATTTTTTCAATGTCTGCCAGCTCGAAAGTCACATCCTCCACAACATCGCGGGCGTTGTAAAATCGACGCGCTCCTTCCACTCCTCGCACGGCGTTCATCACTGACATCCTTTCTTCATTCGAACCTGTGCGAGAAAAGGTACAGTACAAGTACTGTACAGTACAGGGAAACCTCCAGAGCAAACAATTCTACGCTATTACATAGTGATTCAACGAGGCAAAATGCATTTTGTGACGCGTCACGACAACATCAAGCACTTTTAAACGTCAATAAGCTCTTTATTAAATTTGGGATTGACGCAGCAATAATAGATTCCAGCGCACGTTTTTCAAGTGATTTTAGGCAGCAAAACTACAAATTCAGCACCATTCAATACACTGTACTGTGTATAAAATGGACCCTTATATTGCTTAATACTGTATAGCAGCAATATCCACATTTTTAAGGAGAACCGAATAAATGATAAATTTTCGTAAAACAAATATTGAATGATAATACGTTAACAAACTCGAAATTACTGTACATAGGCATTCGAGTTACATATTACATTGAATATGTAATCATATTGAAAAATGATATCTATAAAGAGCATAAACCTCAAAGCTTATTGCATTAAATATTTGATGCAGTAAAATCCGGTACGAGGAAATTGTTGGGACTGGGGAAAAGCTTCATTATAGCGAGAAATTCTTTATAAAGCTATTTGAATAACAATTGCTTTTGGAAAGGGACCTGAAGAACAATTTGTTGCAACCAACAATTCGTTATAACGAAATTCGTGTTGACGAGATTTCACGTACTGCTGTGCATTTTTTGCGGGGTTTGCTCTTTCGTTAGAATTTTAGGATACAATAGTTCTTGCTAATGCTGTGTAAGAAAAATGTATTACAAGGGCTGGAGTGTAAGATTCATTTCTAATCGTGTTTTGTTATTCATTTATTCATTCATTTTTTGAATGAGTTAGCACAAGATATTGCAGTAATTTGTGTTATTTAGAAAAGTCTGTGTTCAATGCTATCGATGAAATTTTCATAATTTTATAAATGTTTTCATATAATCAAAAGAGCACCTTGCTGTGACAGCTTGAATGTCTGTTACACATGCTGTCTCATGAAACAGTAACTTTTATAAATGATTTTTTAAATTTTGAAAAGAGGTTAGAAATTAAAAACACATCATGTGTCGAAAATTATTCTCGCTTTGCTAAAATTGCTAGAAATGTTTATTCATGCTGACAAAAAAGACTCTCAAGTTTTTCTATTGAGAACGTTTGCATTTGTCGAGCAGGGTTTTTTTTCTTCGGATAGTCAAAAATGTGATTTTTAATGAAATATTTTTGTCAGCCAGGCCAACTGGTGTACAGCAGTATTTGATTTCTAAAACAAATTTAATTGAATTTCTGGATAGATTCTGATTGATTTTTTCCTATAATGTCAATATTCATTTAAAACCTATTTTGAACTTGAACTCGCCATCATGCAATCAAAGACTGAGAAAATCACTCTTGGAAACGCCTTGAAGATATCTTCTGCTTTTTTTTTCTTTCGGGTTTTACCTTCGCTATCTTTGTAGTCCAGGGTGATGTCCAAAGCATCTGAGTCGCCAAAGTCGTCATCTCTATACGGATTTTTCGTCAATAGCTTTCTGCCAACACTGCGAAAACATTACGTTAAGAAACAGTACATTGAGTTTACTTTCATTGAAGCGAACCGTTGCAAAAAATTGCTTTAAATCATCAGCAACCAGCACAGTTCCTGAAGAACTTTGACAATTAAGCTGCTGTTTATCAAGGGGTGATTTTTTTTATAGCTCTGTGCAAAATTCACGGCTATTTGTTGGAATTTAGAAAATGAATCAAAATGTTCGAAAAATAGTGTGGTAAATTTTATAACCCTTTTTTTAATAACGGAAACTTGGAAATCATCCTTAAATTGACACCGCGGATGAAGAGCCACGAAGTTGATGATTTGAAAATATGATTTAAATACTTTTATCTGTTTTCTATGCGTTTTCTTTTAAATCGTAGCTCCAGCGATTCAGGAGGGACAATAAATATACTTGTTTCGAAATCAGTATATGCTTTACTTTTTTCATCGTTTCGGTACAGTATTTGAATAATTTTAGTGGATTTCAGCGGTATATAATTTTCAATCTGCTGGTTATCAACAACTCGAAAAAGTCGGTAATAGAATAGCTATGGGATACGTTTTTTTCTTCCCTTTCTTGCGAAAAAAAAAACATCGATAGTTCATGTGCCTGAAATTCGTCGGCTTCGACTCACTGATCAGTGGATTGTTTGTGCAGAGAGAATCCCCAGTCAGATTTCAGGTCTTGCAGCCAGTGCATCACATCGGCGTTCACTTCGCTAAACACGAAAGGGGTGTCGTAAAGCAACCCGACTTCACCACGTTTCACAGCCAAAACTGACGTCGGACCCAGTTGATAAATGCCTGAATTTTGTTTGAAAGGAATATAATACTGCCATTAAAGAAAAAAACTTGCACGCTCGTGAAATCAAGAAATTAAGTAAGTTTTCTACTTGAATAAGAAGAGGAGCTGAGATATCAGAGGGGTCAATATATAGCTTATTGACTAATTATTGTATGCGAGGGTTCTAACAAAATTTCTCGGAATGAAAATGAAAATGACGTCTAATCGAGCTGAAAAAAAAGTATTCTTTAGGGAAAACATATTCTTTATTGGCACAAGAAAAGCAGCCCTGTTTGACAATTTTTTTTAATGTTTTGCAAAATTCACCCTGGCAGAGTTTTGCTATCCACTCAACACTGTAGATGAGGCGCACTTCCCCGCAGTTTTTTTTTTTATAGCCCAGCTTTTTCCTCACAATTCTAGAAATCAAGGTGGCATTAATTCCAAGGGTTGCGATGAAAATGGCAGAATTACCTTGGATGACCTGGAGACAACCCTTGGAATTCTCCAAGTTTGAATTTTTTATATATTTCAATTCAAGAACATATACATTTTGAACAAGCCAAGAATTTTAATTGTTCTTGCACATGCAGGTTCTTCAATGACCATCAAACATTTTTTTCCCCTTTTTTTGGATTAATCGAGGCCAAGATTTAGTACGTCATGCATTATGTCCCCTTTAAATTTTCGTCGCCCCTTTTCATGCAAGCTTCCAATTTTCAGCATGGTTTCTTTATAGACCCAAATAGGAATTTATCCAACGTTTTTTTTAATCACTCAAAAGCTTATTTTGACAATCAAGCTCGTCTCTAATTTTCACATTTGCTGTTCCACACTGAGCTGCTTGAAAAATCCGTGTAAAAATGATATTCTTCCAGGCCTAATATTGTTTGCCGAAAACTGCAGAAAAATTTTATAATTTCTAACGAAATACTGTAGAGTCTCAGGAATAATTGTACTAAGGTACGTCACATATTGCAAGAAACAGAATAAAACATCAAATGCGGTAAATTATTTATTTATATGCATCGATATCCCGATTGTCCCTTTTTATTTCCGGGCCAACTTATTTTTATCAAGCAAAGTTGTAGCAGACAGAAACCGTCAATTGAAATGATCGGTTTCATCTGAATTGTATCAAGTAAATTGGGAAAAATTGCCAAGGACTCCAAGTAAAATAAGCAAGTACAGAAATGCTGCTTTTCTATAACGGATTTTTTGATGTCATTTCCCTGAGTGATGATCAGCAGTTATAGAGATCACCTGGCGGGGTAAACCAGCGTAAAAAGGGAAAACCATATAACTTGGGAAATTGATTATAAAAAATGCATAATTTTCCTGTGAGAATATGAAGATACGATCACGAGATTTCAAATTCAGATTTGAGTTGGCGGGCAAACATAAAGTTACGTGCAGTTGTTGGGGGAATAATGATGGGAACTCACTATCAGATTGTTCTTGAGGAGTGGAATCGATGACTTGCCAACCCCCGTAGCCCTGGGGCAGGTCAGGTCGGGTCATCCACACTTCATTCCACACGTGGAAATTCCAAATGGAGTCGAAAGAGTCTCCCGAAGGCCCCCCTTGAATTTCTTCTCCATGAACGTCGAAATACTTGTCCACTGTCAATGTCGCGTCAGTGTCGTGGGCTGACACGAAATTCGACACTGGTCGACACGGGATTCCTAAAGCTCTGCAAACTATAAATATTCACATTTCATTAATTTGTTTAATGTTGGTTGTCTTATGAAACCTTCAGTGGTGACCTCGGATATGTAGTAATAATGCATAAGTCGGTATATAGATAAGAGGAATCAACCATTATTTAGCAATAAAAATATGTCTATGAAAATATATGGAGCAGAATTAATTCAAATAATATTTCACAATTTTGAGGATTCGTACTATTCAAGCTTTTCAAAAATAAATTTTAATTTAATCCAACAAATGCCGCTTTTCTGCAACTACTGATGTATACGTATGAAATTTCGTTCCTCGAGATCTACAAATAGTGAAAAATTATGCTTGCTGGTGTCATGAATCATGATTAAATATCCTTTGTAATGTATTCTAATATATTTAGGTGCTAGAAACTGTTGCATTATTGCCAGCATGGATGATAGGTCAATTGTTATTCGACAACAAATTCGAAAGTCAGTGATGATTCAACGAAACAAAAAAGTATTCATGCGTTTACTACATTCGTACCTTTTTTATTTATAAAACTCTGCTCCAAAAATCAAGAATCGTTTTATTTCAAGTTACGTCATGTATTTAATGGCGTCTGATACTCTCTGATGGTAAACTCTGAGATTTAAAAAAAAATCAGAGTACATATCAAAGCTAATTTTTCCGTAGACTGAATTTTTCAAAAACTAATTTAAAAATTCAGAAGAATCAATAGTAGATTTAGTTCCAGTTCGCAAGTGTTTCAATCCTGATTTATGCATCTAGGAGAATTTCAGAAAAATATGAAGCATGAGCCGAAAACTGTAAATAAATTTTTTTAAACCTTCATACATTCGTTAGCCAAAAAGGATCCAATTTTTTCAGGAATAAAATAATAATTTAAATAGCAGTATATTGAGTGAGTAAAGGAAGAGCCTGCAGGAAGATTTTTAAAAAATTAGCAGTACAGCATAAACGTGTTGCTATACACAGTACAATTCTGCAAATACAGTAAAATCTCGTCACAAAATAAAGAAGCCATTGGGGCAGGGCCAATAAATTAGCTCTGTTGTACTGAAATATTCGTTATATATGCCTCAGTAAATCTTTGAAAATTGCGGCTATTGATGGACAAAGAACCAAAAAAAGACTTCGTCGTATAGTACGGTATAATTAAAAGTGAATATTCGTAAAGCGATATATCCGCCGAAAGGACGATATTTTGACAATTGCGCAATATTGCGCAATACTGTGCAATATTATTCATGCTGCTCAAATTGGGTGTTTCCGCTGTACGGGTTATTTCTCACTTGTGGCTGCGACACCTGCGAAGACCCAGCACTGCCCATACTTGATGGGTTTCCCACCGGATTCCAAGTATTTCTCCAGGATGGAAGCACTTCCTGTCCAGTCGTAAGGCGCGGTTCCGTCTGCGTAACTTCCGTCCCAACGCCCATGCACGATCCCGTTCTCGTTATTCTGGTTCACCTGTTTCGAACCCAAATAAAACTTTATTTTCAGCGCAATTTGAGTAAAATCGGCCATTATTGCGGCGCTATAACGTACAGTACTGTAATATGATGAGTGTTTATTCCAGCATAGTACAGCAGTATCTCTATATACTGTATAGCCACTAAATTATTGTGACTCAGGGATCTACACCAGTGTTGCCCAACCCGTGGTCCGCAGAAGTTTTTTGGCTGGTCTTCAGGAATTTTTCTGCTGCATAATGTGCAGTGGCCCTCCGCCTAACAGACATCCCGTGTAAGAGAATCTGTTTTTGCTTAACAGATCAGCTCTGGAGGCAGTTTTTCCTCCTTCCCAGTCCCAACAGAAAAAAATCCACCAAACAGACTTCTTTTGGTTTAAAATTAGTTTTGAAAATTTGAATGAATATAAATTCTAATATAAATTCTAATATAAATTCTAATATAAATTCTAAGATAAATTCTAATATGAATTCTAATATAAATTATAATATAAATTCTAAGATAAATTATAATATAAATTCTAATATAAATTCTAATATAAATTCTAATATAAATTCTAATATAAATTCTAATATAAATTTTAAGATAAATTCTAATATAAATTCTAATATAAATTCTCCTCAATAATACACCTCGACCAAACTATTTATTTCATAATAAAATGGCCCAAATTTCAGAATTTCAAGCGCTCAACTTTCTATAATAGAATTCACCAATTTTGGGGCAAAAATTGTCTTATTCTCGTCTCTAGTGCTTTCTTTTATTACATAGCACTTTGAAGAAATAAAAGATCTATAACCAGCAAGTGGTATTATAATTACAATTGCGGAAATGGCCCTGGCGACTTTGATGGGGCTGGATCTATCGGCGGAGGACATTTTGGCGAGCTCCAGGGCCATGATCGAGGCGGGCAGCACGGTATCGTCGAACTGCGCAAAGACCCATCGCCGTCCCCTGGCTTGTTTGAATGATCCCACGTAAATCTTGCCGGTGTCATTCAACACATACTCTTGCCTCTCCCTTTCGTTTTCCATAAACACACCGTCATCTATTTGCACAAATGAAAAAAATATAAATAAAAATTACTGTGATTAAAATTTTTTTTTAATCGATTCAGGATGAAAGTACAGTACAGTACAGCACCGTAAATACTTGGTCAATTAACATACCCTGTGCATTCGCATTTATTTAGGTAAGAAAACGTCATCAACAATGCCAAATTTGCTTGAGGATAAACGCTTCTAAGTTGTTTCAATAATTATGATAAAATCGAATCAACATTTAATCTCAGACTTTTCTGCTTTGAAGAAAAGTAATCAATCTTAGGTATCAAACTTTAACATAAAAATCGCATTTCGACTCACTCACAAATAAATTTATCAAATTAAAAACTGTGTAGCGTACTGTATGTCAGGCCGATTGATGACAAATAAAATAGAAAGAATAAACGCAGTCACTCAGCCTTTAACGGCTGGATCCTCTTTAGCAGAGTCCCTTAGAATAATCAGCTTTATCCCAAACACGCACAGACCACAGAAGGAAAACAAGGTACTCAGAGGTACAGAACAATCGCGCTAGGACGCAAAGATGATTTCACAGCCAGGTAAACCCACAAGCTTCCAGACCGAATTCTCCCGATGTAATGTTCTTCTTCCCGAAGCCCCGAAGGCTTCGGGAGCCGGCGTTTGCTGCCGGAAATGGTTATCTTTGTTCTTGACCCGGTTTACCGCAATGCGGTAAACCAGGTGCCCTATCCGCTTCCGGGTTGGCGTGTAGGAGTTGCTGTGCGGTATACCCGAGCGAGGATGCTACGCTC